CACATATTTAATTATTTCCCTTTGCTTCAAGGTTCTAAACTCTTTAGGTAACCTTGTTGAGCATAACCAATTAAAATTGTAAATTTTGATTTACCCCCACTCCCGTAAGATATAATATGACACCCAGCTTTGGCATGACCCATCAAAATATCAAAGGTTTCATCGGGTTTTTAATTGGAAAAACAATCTCAATATTACTGGGACCTAGATTCATTATGTTGTGATTATTTAGTGAACTCTAGCGCATCATCAATCAATATAAATAAAATCTAACATGCATAATCTACTAATGCAATAAAATAAAGCATGACATAGTATGGCCCCTTAGTCCTAAGAAAACTAGAAATGAAAATGCTCCCACTTGAATCATCGTGGATCTCCATCCATCTCACTCCTTTGGGCCTTCACTTCATGGGCTTCTTTGGACTAACACTATTTAAATAACTATTCTATTTATTTTAAATAAAAGTTACAAAAAATACTTAACGGTACACAGACCGTATTTAGATTACAAAAATACTTCACGATGCGCAGATCGTATTCAAGAATCTATGGGCCATACTAGTCTATATATAGCAACATAATATCATATATTATAAAAGTGTCATATAATAAATCACTCAACATGCTTGCCTAAACTACAACATCGAATGTTCATAATAAAGTCAACGCATTTCCTAAAATATATCATATTTTAAATAATAATTAGATAATATCATATATTATTCATGACCGTTTATAAAATATCATATATTTAATTTAGTCATGAGATAGAATCAAATCATATTTTAATCTAGAAAGATAAATCATATTTAATCTTCCATGATTATCCTTACAAATTTAGGAGATTCTATCCTAATTACTAGCCAATCAAATAATTTTAAAATCAATTATATCCTAATCTAATTATGGGATAATCACATTAGTTAAATCAATTATTATCCTTTTGGAATATGCTCAGAATATCCTAATCAATTTTATCCAAAATTAACCACTTTAATTAGGATAATTACCAATTTAACAGCTTTAAATATGGATAATATCAAATATAACAACTTTTGAATATTTGATTTTATCCTAACATACAAGATTTTATCCAAATAAAACCAATTTTATCTTTTAAAATAAAAGATCATATTTTTCAAAAATTTTAACTTATCCAAAAAAAAATGATTTTATCTTGAAATAATTTTAAAATAAGATAATTACTTTTTTTTACAAAACCGCAAAGCACCACCGCCGGCCACCGTGGTTGGCTAGCCGAAGCTAGCCACGGTGGCTGGATGCCAATAGCAGCCACTGCCGCAAGGGCAGCAGCGTGGCAACAGCTCTGGCAACCGTGGCAGCAACTGTGTAACGCTTGCACGCTACTGCCCATAACCACCCTCTGACCTCCGCCCTCCCATTCCCTCCCTCTTGGACCAGCAGCGGCGACAGCCACCGTGGCTGTGCCACCCAGCTATGGCTGCCGCCTCTAAATAATTGTTTTGTTTGTTGTTTTTAATTTAATTAAAATAACTTTTATCAAAATCAAATTAAATTAGTCCAAAAGATTAAAATTAAATCGGCATTCAATCTTATAATTAGGGTTTATCATAAAATTAATCCCAATTTAATTCTAACTTTTAAAATTAAATCGATGATCATACACAAAACACTTTTATGTATAAATCAATCCGAATAAAATAATGATCTATAAAATAAATCGAATTAAATCAAAATCAAGCACAAAAATCATATTTTAGGGCTAGGATTTTCGAAAAATTCGAAAAATAGGGTTAGGGGGTTCTAAAATTTCGAACATATTAGGGCTAAAATTTGGTCATCTTCATGGCTATTTGAGCATAATTAAATCACATTTAATCGATTCCAAAAGTTTAATCACATTAAAATAACAATTAAACTATAATTAAATTAATTTCTCCCTCTTAATTGATTATAAAATTGACATGGACATCAAATTATCGTATTATTATGATCAAGCGCGTTCATGCAAGAGGCTAACTGATACCACTGTATGAGTTTATAGGTACTACGCAGCGAAAATAACATGAATCATATTCAATCAAGTACCAATCCAGAATCGCATGCATAACACACAAGACACATAATCATACCTTTGATGCGTGAATTCCACGAAGCTATTCGACAGGAAAATCAGGGAGAGAATAGAGCCCCAAGCGTTGCTCCTCTACTTAGTCCACGAGATTCGAACGAGCCCTCCACCAATACTAGATTGGTCGAGTGATTGAGGAAAACCGCGATCACCACCTTTATGGACAACCGGCCACCGCACGAACCACCACCACCACTACGAACCACCACCGGCGTGAGGAGGAAGAGAGAGCCGTGTGAGAGAGAGGACTTTGAGAGGGGTTGGGTTTCGTGTTTGCTAATTAGGGTTTGATCACACTGATCAGTTAATTGCTTGCATGCAAACCTAGGTACCTAGTCTATTTATAATCCTATTATAATTAGACTAGGGCACGAAGCCCAAAACTCTCTTATCCACTCCATATGGCCAGCCACCTAGAGTGATGAGGCCCATGACGGGCCTCGTCCTCAAATGCTCGATCTAGTCCCTTTGTGTGACCTTATAGGATCCGTCCAATTGGGCTTTGGCCTATTTTACTAGTTCAAAGATCGTTAGTACCTCTAGCTATGGAAAAAAGACGACCTAAATGTACGAACTTAATTATCTCCATAATTTGATCCATTTATATATCTAGTAATTGCATACGACGAAGACATAACTCCTTCAAATAGTACCAAAAGTCAATTTTTTTTAATTTAATTTTATTTTTGTTTTTTTTGTGTTTAGAGAACCACAAAGGGTTGGGGGTGAGAATCGATCCCAAGTTTTCTTGAAACTGGCAGGGGAGCACTAACTACTTGTTATCCCTCGCTCTCACCAAAAGTCAAATTGTTACACTTATAAAAGACGAAGAAAATATTGATTACTCCTTCAATCTTTTTTCCCTTCATTGCTTTGGTTTTTTGATCAAATTACAAAATATATGATTACAAATTCTTGTAAATATATAAGAGATTATATAGTGATGTAGGATTTAATTATATACATCTCATTGTACATTTTACTAATACTCCCTCCATTTTGTTAAGTAAAATGTTTCTCCTTGACACGTATGTTAATGTAAAATTTTGACCCGTTATATTATTATTATGAAAGAAAAAAGTTATAATAAATTAATTATTCATTGAGATGATTCAAAGATGTACCCACGAGGGCCAAAACTCCACAAGACTATTGTAGACACTTGAAAATGTCTCCCCAAAACCAAAGCCGATGATGAACAACTTTTCACCGCCATTATTGTCAGGTCGAGTATTTAATCACTGGAGTGCGTAAAACCCATATTTTAGTCAAATATTTTCCTTCCACAAATCAGTCCAATCATTTATTTAAACTCATTCCAGCCAAACCCTTTTTAAATCATTTCGTTTTATTTATTAATTAAGCTCGATTAATAAATAATTCATCCCTAAACCTAAAATGAGTCTGGAACAGATGAAACGAAGCCTATTTTACACGTGCTTAATGAAAAATAAAAGATAGAAATGAACTTGGGCAAAATTCTAGGAAACACAAATGTCGCGCGCGACACGACAAAATATGTTGTTCCTCGACAATTCTGTCGCGACTCGCCAATTTTCTAGGGTTTTGTTTCGCGGTGCCTTCAATTCTAGGGTTTTGTACCTTACCCATCATATTTTCTCTATAAATACGAAGCTGATTTCTTAGTTTTGGGGCACAAAATAATTCTCTCTTCCGCTTTTGTGCACAAAACCATTCTCTCTTTCTCTCTTGTGGTCTAGCATAAACATTAGCCTTCCTTATTCTTTCACAATACATCCTAGAAGCACTCCCCGGAGTCCATATTTCACCTAAAGTTCTACACTTTTGAGGGTTTGACCCCAAATCAACTTTATTTTTATTTAATTTAATTTCCATTACTGTTTATTAATTTTCCTTGAAGTTACTAACGTGATTATTGTTTTATAGTTGCAAGCAAATGCAATTAAAGTAAGGAATCATGTTCCTATTATATTTTTAACAATTTTTGTTATGATTCTCATATACTAATCGTTGTTAAAGAGGTTAAATTGCTTCCAATGTTAATGATGATTTAATTTTATTATTTTTATTGTCACCATATTGCATATTTAAAGGGAATATGTAATTGAATATCACGTCTAATAAGATAATTTGGACGAACAAATTAGGTTCCTTTTTAATCTTTAATTTGTTTAAACTAAAGTGATCACAAGCAATATTTTAGAATTATATGTTGCATTAACATTCAACCAATTTAGCTTAATAATAGTTTGGAGTAAATTGAATATTTGTTTGTATGCCTTTGAGATCATAGGAAATACTTTTCACAACAAGAATCAAGTAGAGGCCAATACATGCGAATGTGACTCCATGACTCACTTTGTACCATCATCCTTGATCCTCCTTTCGTGGTTCCGAACCATATGGAGTTAGTAATCTCATGGATTATGAATGGGGTGTAATCTTCACAAGTCAATCGTTGTTGACTATCGTTGTCCGTTTATCGTGGTTTCTTTTAATGATCCGTGAACGGTTTAAAAGTTCCTTATAAACTTGTTGGCGGATCCATGCTTTTTCTTACCCTAATCGTATAATGTGAATTCCTACTTCCTAAGAGTGCCAAGCATATTCACCACATGCCTATGTAGGAGCGCTTCAATCGATTCCTACAACTCTGTATTTTCTTACGTATAAATCACTAACATTAGTGAAAGTGGATTAGATGAATAGTGCAAAAAGTCAAAAGGTTTCACTTTATATATACAAGCTAAGAGGTACACACAACATAAGAAATTAGAAGGAAAAAAAATAACCAATGCCCCCCATCAGTTTAGAATCACCAAAAATAAAAAGATTCAGCCATGTATATTAGAAGTTGTGAAACTAATAATACAGCTAAAATATTTACTAAAAGCATGAGAAAGAAATACGAATAAAAAAACTATAAATGAGAAAATTTAGGATAGGTTTTTCCCAAAAAAATATAATAATCAAGACCAGTTTTTTTTTTTAATTTTTTTTGGGGGGGAGTAAGAACAGTTGAAGATATAAATTTACGTGGTAGAAGTGGATTAGTTATTATACGGTATTTTTTTATTTTTTATATTTGAAAGAATATTATAGAGTAGTTATGATAAGTATTTTTTTTGATAAAAATAATTTTTAATTTTTAATTGAAAATTAAAGTGGTGATATTGCAAATTGAGAAGGACGACATTTTAGGAAAAAGTAAATTTATCACACCAGAAGCCCTTTCTCTTTATATATATGTATTTAGGACCGAGTTATAATGAGAACCAATCCTATTATAGGAACTAGGAACTAATTAGGCCGTTAGATTTTCCTTGGATGCGCGCTAGATGAGCGGCTGAGATTAATCTAAACTTATTAGGCACATTCACTCGTTTCACTCTCCTCAAGCATTTTCTCTCTCCTCCATAGCAACGAGTGCCTCTGAATTCTCCATTGAAGCGGCTTTCTAGCTTTCTCTACTCCAATGAAGCAGCTTCTGAGGAAAAGATGTTTGATTTTCTCTTTTTTTTTTTTTTTTTTGTGAATCACGAATTTCAATTCACTGGTTTATCATTATTTTTTGTCAATTTAGGGTTCTTTATAGTGAAATTCAAACTTTTATTTATAATTTAAGAGGTTATGAATGGTTATATCGATTGATTTTGTCAATTTTGGTACTTTTATTTTACTAATTCGTGCTTAAATTTTGATGCACACTAACTGTTTGATTAAATTCCCCAATGAAATTTGCAGGTTGATCAAACCTAACTACTTTTACAATTTGATGAACTTGCTGCAATTTTATCAACTTCAGAGGTAACTTGTATTTTGATGTTGCTGCACACTAGGTATCTGACAAAATGCCTCAATGAATTCTACTATTATTTTTTCAAATTCAAAAGTAGATAGAAAACAATCAGAAGTAAATCAATTACATTTTAAAGTAAACAAAGAGCTGCTGGTTGAGGATTTTTTCATAACCTTGAATTTGTAGTTTTCTAGTTTTTCATTGCACATCTGTTTGAACTTTGATTGCATCAATGAGCAGCCCTCCTTTGCCTATTTTACTATTACTATTCGCAGCTCTTAGGAGATTATTTGCTTATTACGCAAACAAATGAGGAATTTCTCTGTCGAAAATTAGTTTGTAGTCCTGGTTTTATACTAGGGAAGTCCTATTGCCTAAGGATCGTTTGATATTGTGTTCTTGTTTCAACTTATGACTGTTATGAGTGTGGGTTAGGGAAAAGAATTCTTATATGCATGGCAATTAGGTAAATTCTTTTAATGATATCATAGCTGTAATACCCGTATTTTTATACATATTTTATTTAAAGTATGTATTTTATAAAGTATTTAAATAGTTTTAATTATTTTAATTAAAGTATTTTAATTAATATTATTATTAAAGGAAAGTTTATTTAATTATTTTATTTAAAAGTTGAGGTTTTATTTTAGGAAAGTTTAATTTTCAACAAGTTTTATTAGGGAAGGAATTAGGAAAACCTAAAAGAGGAAAGTTTAGGGAAGAGGGTTAGTAGAGAAGGGGTATAAATATCCCACTTATGAGGCAAATCAAACTTTGCCCAGAGTGGAGAAAACCCAAGGTAAACTTCTCTCTCTCCTCCTTATTTTTCTTTCTTTTTCTTTTTCCCCTTCCCCTTATTTTTCGGCTGCCCTTCTCCCCCATCACCGCTGCCAGCCACCGGCAGCTGGTGGCCGCCGCTGCCAGCAGCGCAAGCCGCCGGCAGCAGGCAGCCGCCGCCGCCAGCAGCCGGCAGCCGGTGGTGGCTGCCGTTCTTCCTCCTCTTTTTCCCCCTTTCTTTTTCGAACTATATATAAAAAAAAAAAAAAAAAAAAAACTAAGCTTTCTTGTTTTAATTTAATCTATTCTTGGATCTAAATATAAATTATGAGTTTGGGGGTTTAATTTTGATGTTTGATAATTGTAATTGTATGAATTAATTTTCAGATTTGGTTTTTAATTAAAAAGCCCCAATTTTTGAAACCCTAGGTTCTTGTTTCATGATTTATTGAAATATTATGATGTATAATAGGGTAGGCCTTTGTTTTAAGTGTTTTAAAACCAAATTACAGCAAGTTTTAAGTATAATAAAGTGCTGAAATTTTATGTGGAACACTTAATATTGGGTTTCTTGAAGAAATTTTAATTACCCATTAATTGGGACTTAATTTAGGGTGTTTTAAATATAATTTCAGCTTATTCTAATTAATTTATGAAGGGTTTTAAAATAATATATATTGCTGGAAATTTGTTTAGAGTGAATATTAATACTCTATTATGGATTTAATGTGTAGGAGACTTTGAAGTAAGCGATTTCTACTAGTTGTGGCAATTTTAATAACGTACTCAATGTACGTTCGCGTACTTAGCATATTTTGATGATGTAGAATCATGCTAGGTTTAATTTCAATCAATTACAAGTAGTATCATGCTAAGGTTTATGTATTGAATTGTGAATTATTGGTGTTGGTGATTGAATTGTGAAGCATGAATTATTTGTGATGGTTTATGGATTGGAAAATTATATTTTGGCATGATTATATGGACTACATATTTATTTATGGCATGATAGAGAACATGTTTAATTAAACTAATTATTTAATTATGTTTGGATTATTGAAAAGAAATTTTATTATGGTTCATATAATTTTTATTGATGCTTTAAGCATGAGAAAGGAGCTATATAAGTGTCTATGTACACAAGGAATAAATTGTATGTTGGAGCCTTTGTGCACTTAAGGTGTTTTTAACACCGAGGGATAGGCGTTTTATGCGTTTAAGGTGTCTTTGACACTGAGGTAGAATTAAAAAGGGTTCAACATTAAATATTATGTGGTCACTAAATATTCAAGAATTAAATTGGTATGTTTGAGTGTTTGAATTATTATTGATGATTGAATTGTTATACTTTGAGGGTCATCACCAAGTCTAATAATATGTAAATAACGTAAAGTGAAAGAGATTACGCACCAAAACTCTTGGAACGTATATACCTTGAGTATGAACATATGGGGGGAGTTATGTGACTTTATATTTGATCATAACTTCTAACGGAGTACAGGACGCTGTATATTCCTTTTTATTATTATTATGCGCTGGAATTCCGCCACCTATGTGTGGCACAGGTTTTTTGCTGGCACGGTTAGCTCCCGTGTCAGTTAACCTCAATTTATTGGGGGAGGTATAGTTGGAAACCCGTTCGATGCGTAATCAACGCTAAATGAATTATTTAGTGTCTAGTTATAGTGTCTTGTTGATTGTTGTGTGTGCTTGTAAACAGGTGCAATGAGGTAAGTGTGTGTGATGATAGGAGAATGCATGTTAGTGTGTTTAATTACGCTTATGTACTCAGCAAAGCTGATTGTGTGTGTTGTTTGTGTCTGGCCATGTCTTTATCTTGGCCCTACGATGATCTATTTTAATGGAGAGTAGTGGGGGCAAGTAGAGATACACTTTTCAGGTATTGAAGCATGTTCATGACGGGGCATGAGTGAAGAGAGAATCATGCTAGCTTCCATTAGGATATGATGTGTTTTATGCATTGAGTATTTTATTATATTACTTTATGGACTAACACAAAAGTTTGGTTGTTTCGGTTTTGAATAAGGGCCTTAGATGGTTCCAAGTTGTAGTGGATTTTATTTGACTTTGGTTTGTTGATTTTCAACTTTACTTTCGTTGGTTTGGTTTTTAAATTGTGTAATTTAAATAGTTTTGGTTTTTAAGTCTTCCGCTGTGTATCTTTGATAGTTGCCTTAGCCGTTTTCACGGTGGCGGTAATGTCTTAGATATTCCTAAAACGTATTTTAAAAAGAGTAAAGTGTGTATTTAAAGGAAAGAAATTTCTAGGGTGTTACAATAGCGAAGTGGAAATAAGAGTTTCATGTGTTTTTAAAGTTAGTTCTATTAAAGTTCCTTATTTTATACATACATCTGTCAGTTGCAAGGACAGAACCAGATGCAATTTTCTGAACAATCAGCGAGTCATCAATATCAAGGCAGGCAGCTGCCCACTGGACATATTGGACAAACCCAACTGAACCAAGGAACCCAGCTCAACCATCATATTGGCCAATTTCCTGGAGCTGCTAATACAACTTTGTTCAATGCTGCTCAGAATTCACCTAATGCTCTTGTGGTAGAACATGCACCTCAACTTTTACTTAATCTATGATTACATTCTACTTTTTCAGTTATATGTCCTTAAAACAATTTGCTGCTGTCTTTTTTGCATGTTTGCATTAGACATACGTGCTGAGTGTAATGTCTCTTTTTGACAAATTGACAACCATTGGTCTTTTTCTCCTTCCCATTTAGATGTCCATTCCGATTAGTATGTGTATAAGAAATGGACTAGACTTAAGGATGACATGAGAATTATCGATGTATAGATGCAAACTGAATAATCGAATGTGTTATCTTGTATTGACCCTTGCATTATTAGTGAACACTCAAGCACAATGGGATGGAGGTGGGATCGGGGGCTGAATTATGGGATATCCATGCAATATTTGTAATCAATGTTTTAATCTCTTGGGTAAAAAATTTTTAATGCTGGAAATTAAAATTACTATTATGGATCATGTAAGAAAGAAGAATTTGGTGTACTGTAAGTCAGCTTTTACTTTTTATCACGGTTGCAAGAATGTTATTTTCACTTGTCTAACTGTCAAGCAAATTTATTATAAGATAAACCTAAGGTTCATTGCTTGCTTATATACTGTGCTAAAATTAAACTATGATGTCTCCAATTACATTATCAATTTCAAAAGTTGATAGAAACCAAATAAAAGTAAACTAGTTATATTCTAAAGTAAACCGATATGCATATTTGGGTGGCCCTACATTTTTTGTAGAGGATATCAGGTCTTGTGATTAATTTACCTGAATTTTGTTTGGAACAAATTTATTTATAAAGAGGAATTTCCAATGAAAAAAAAAACTTGAAAAGGTACCACATAGGACTACATTGGTGAAATGAAAATTGAGCACAACTGAATTGCACTATTTTGGGACAAACCTAACTAGGATGTGTTCTTTTTGCCTCCAACTTATCAATCTTTGTTATGTTACTATGCTTATCAATCTTTGTTCTGGAACATTGTCTCTCTAGACTGGCAGACAAGAGCTTTGGTTTTGTACCCGTTTTGTATGATTATGCTGCTCAATCTTTTTTAAAGCTACATTTTGTCTGGATATAGAGCTATGGTTTTATACCCCAGTCTACATTATTGATATATGGCTACTATGAAGAAAGGCAGCACCAGCTGAATCTGAAGACTAGTGTCATCAGCAGTGCATGCAACCCAGGGTTTGATTTATTTCCTGCTGAAGCATTTGAGTTATTTCTCATCAGATTTTCTTGTGGCGAAGATAATATCATTTTATTAATTTGGTGGTCAATTTCTCACGAGGTTGTGGCAATCAAGTTTTCTTGCATATTAGTTCTGATCTCAGGTACCTTTTTTTTTTCTTTTGGTAATTTTGTGTTTTTAATCATCTACTTTTTCAACAATTTTTCATACAAAGCTCAAATTTATCAACATTGATCTCATTGAGAAATAAACCAAGTGTCTCTAAAAGTAAATACAAAAGAATATAAAGTTAGTAAAACAAGCTATAAAGTAAATCTATTGGCTCAAATGGTAGAGCACTATGCGGATGCATAAAGGTGTAGGTTCAATTCCTACATAGGTTATCTCTAAAAGTAAATATAAAATACTCTAAAGTTATGCAAAATACCTCAAAAGTAAATTAAAATAACCAAAAAGTAAAACAACTTAGCTTTAAGATATACAGAAAATTAGTTAGCTTTGCAGGTATTTTGTCATCATTAAACCTGAAAACTTAAAAAAATCACAGTATCAAGCTTCAGCTCTATTATTTCTACCTCCAACTTAAAGTAAACATGAAACACTTTAAAGTTATTTAAAATGTCACAAAAGTAAATAAAACATAACTATAAAGTTATTTCAAGTTACACATGACGTTTGACTTCTATTCTCCAGAGTGCATCGCAGCAGCTATCATCAAGTATTGAAAGATCAGACATGGCAATATAAAATCAGGTACTGCCCTGATTGAGATTCAAGATGGCTCTTTCGCTTTGATTATTTGATTAGAGAAAACAATCAAGCTAAGTCAGGGATTAAACAATTAACATGCAATACTTGCTCAACTTATTTAATTAAATGCCTAACTAAACTCTAAAACAAAGTCTAGTCTCCATATTAGACAAATGAACCTAATTTTGCACAAGGGTAGAGCACTATGCATCATATGTCAAAAGTAGATAAAAATAATAATAAAAAGTAAATCAAAATATTCTAAAAGTAAATAAAAAAAGCTCAAATGTAGAGTAAATAATAAAAAATTATTTAATAAATAAAATCAGGTACTGCCCTGATTGAGATTCAAGATGGCTCTTTCGCTTTGATTATTTGATTAGAGAAAACAATCAAGCTAAGTCAGGGATTAAACAATTAACATGCAATACTTGCTCAACTTATTTAATTAAATGCCTAACTAAACTCTAAAACAAAGTCTAGTCTCCATATTAGACAAATGAACCTAATTTTGCACAAGGGTAGAGCACTATGCATCATATGTCAAAAGTAGATAAAAATAATAATAAAAAGTAAATCAAAATATTCTAAAAGTAAATAAAAAAAGCTCAAATGTAGAGTAAATAATAAAAAATTATTTAATAAATAACCTACGTGGGACTCGAACCCGCATCTTTTGTGCAATTGCACAATGCTCTACCGATTGAGCTAGTAGGCTATCATTATTAATTTCTTCATATATATATCAAAGTAACTAAAACAATAGAAAAGTAAATAAAAAATCCTCAAAAGTTAATATTCTAAAGGTAGCATTTGTTTTCTTAGTTTAGGAGATTCCTATCCATATGTGTTGTTGCAAAAGGAGAACAATAATATAAGTGCAAATGCATTTTTGCAAGCCTTCTCTTAAAACACAAATGTAGACATGCTCCAAGTACAACTAAGCATGTCATTACCTTCGGCTTTGAAATAAACCAGTTTGATGTAGGTGGTGACTATTGAGGAGATCCTTCAGCATTAACAATAAAATGATTAGTAATAATTTGGATGGAGCCTATTTACAACTTGTGCCAAATGAGCAATCCTAACAATTTAATTCAAGTTCAACATATGTCGTTGTGGTCTTTTTCTTTTTCTAATTACAGAACAAGTATATTAGCTATATATTGATAATAGATAGAGTTAAATTAGTTAAAATTCCAAGAGATAATACTCAAATCAAGTAACGCATCCCCCTTCCGTTATAGGGAGTTGAATATACTGTCCTCCATAGTTGAAAATCACCGCAAATAAAATATAGTAAATTAATTATATAATAGGAATAAAGTATGACAACAAGAGCATACAATTTTGCAGTCTATTAGGCATATATAGCTACAATAGAAGTATGAAGGTCGTCCTACTCATAATGCTTTAAAACAATGTTAAGAACGTAAAAGCTAACACAATCAACTTTCTCCGAGATATTAATCATAGTCAAGCATGCAAGCTATACTATCATTCATTTCATACAAGTAGAGATTAATGTAACAGCAAAATATAAGACATTTCCCTACTTCAATACATTGAACAAGATACTATTGCCTCGCAAATCGCAATTGCAAACTCCCAAGGCATAAAACTGAAACAAAAACTCATAAAAGTGAATAAGATTTTATAAAAAGTAATTATCCAAAAGTAAATAATTATCCAACCACCCAAAGTATATCCCTGATGATAATTCAATTCACCATTGAATTATCCCCTGGAAAAAAATTAGAAATGCATTGCACTTTTCAAAAACTAAAAAATTATACAGTATGTCATTGCACAAAGTTTAGCAACAAATCATAAAATTTCACCAAAACAGTATGAAATTATTGATCTAATTATAAATTAAAGAGAAAAATCACAAAAACCGAAACAAAAAATAGTGAAAACCCTAGTTTTCGCAATTTAATTCACATAATATTAAAAAATAGAATTAAAACAAATTCAAAAATGATAATCGAAATCAAATTAACTTGTTCATAGATAACCAACAACAAAGATCGAAGAACATAATCAATGAATCAGATATGCGATAAAAAGGAAAAAAAATAGCAAAAATCCTGATTTCAAATTAAAAACAATCGAGAATTAAATAAGCAGTAACTAATTAAATAAAAAGAAAAAACAAATACAAAATCAGTAACTTACTTGTTCAATATAACAGGTGCAAAAAATCGAAAAAAAAAATTTAAGAATTTGATGCGAAGAACAGTGAAAAATCGCACTAGGGAGAATTTGAAGGAAGAGAGAGAAAGAGTGACGAAGAGAGAGATAAGGAAAAAGGAAACTGATGATTTTTTGGAGTAGTCATTCAAAGTACCGATTTCCTATTTTGCCCTTAATGAGGCGGGTGAGATCTCAACCGTTAGATGAAGTGTAATCAACTGTAGGGATGAGTTCTTAGTTCCTATTATAGGACTTGGTTCTCACATGATCCTGATTCTCTCTCTCTCTCTCTCACTATATATATATATATATATATATATATATATATATATATATATATATATATATATATATATATATAATTTAGTAGATTGCTAAATACCGCCAGCTTTTTTTATCAAACCGCCAACAAAAGTGAATAATGGACAAAATTACCCTTACTCATCCTCACTTTGCTTTCTCTCTCCTAAGGCATCAATCAAGCCTCAAACTCAAACTCAACCACCACAAAAGCAACCACCATTGCCACCCACCACTCACGCCACCACGACCACCACCCATACCACTACAACCACTGCACCAAGGCACCAAATTGTTTTTGAGGCCGAAATCCCGAAAGAACCAACAACAATCATCAACCATCGGACCAACAACAATCATCAGCCATCGGATAAACAACCCACCACCTTCCCACGTCGGCGGGAGGGTGGTGATTTTCTTTTAAATCCGGCGACCAGCACAACCGACGCCCAAAACCGGTCACCCAGAACGGTAACTGATTTCCAGCGTCGGTTGACCATGGTAATCGACGCTGGAAACCGGTTACCGTCCCGGGTGACCGGTTTTGGGTGTCGATTGACCACGGTAGACCGACATCCAAAACTAGTTACCGTCTCGGGTGACCGATTTTGCACGCCGATTGACCATGGTGAGCGCCGGAGATTATTAAAAACAAGAACTGAGCAAAGTGACGAACTGGTTTTTCAATTTTGACCACCGTGATGCCGGTTCATCACCTCCAATCCTCACCGTTGTTGTCCTTCCACGTCCGGCCACCACTTCTCTTCACCTCTGATGTACAACCTCTATTTGAGGTTGGTGGTGGTTTGGATGTGGTATTGTGATGAGAGAGAAAAAAAAATAAAAGAGAAAGAGGAAGATGGGGTGGGGGTATAGTAAGGGTATTGGTGTCCATTCACCTTAAATGTTGGCGATTTTGATAAAATTTGTTGGCGGTATTTAACACCCCCCATAATTTAAAGTGCATCTCATAGAATGTGAAGTTGTAAAAAAAAAAATAGATTTTGAAAAGCCAAGTAATAAGGGAAAAAATAGAGACGAGAGAGTACAACGCTTCCTTATTATTTCCCTTTCTCTTAAGCACATAAGTGCAAATAAAATGACAGTATCAAGTTAGCCTAATGTGGTTTGATATAACTTGATCTAATAACCAAATCATTAGGCAAATTCCAACTTGAAAAAATTGAACTAAACATAACTCTACATCCACCTTCGTCTTTAAAACATTATTGAAATGGTGGCTCATACTATATAAAGCTTCTTCATCTAACAATAATAATAGTTCTAAAGCACAAGTTAATTAGACAATGAACACTTAATTGCAAAATGTATTATTTTAGAAATTTTGAAACATTTGATCCTATGTACATAGAAGCATGAACAAGACATCATTATACAAAATCAAAACTATGTGAATGAATGAACATCATTACAAGTTTACAACATAGGGTAGTTACTTAAAGAGGAAAGTAGGAAAAATTATTCTAAAAGATTCAACAATAACCACTAAGATTATTAATGTAAAAACTTAAATTTCTTTAGGAGTGAAGCATAGTTCTTAACACCATCTCAATATTATTAGTAATGACTATGACATCCTTGGAAACACATTGTATTCCCCTTCTTGATAATCCGGCACAATATAATTTATGGAAATTTCATCAAATGCCACTGACAAATTTAAAAATTCACCAAATGCCATCGGACTTTTCAGAATTCACCAAATGTCACTCGGTTTTTAAATAATTCACCGACTGCCATTAATGACTAACAGAGGCTTAATCATGACACATGGCAATTGGTTATTGGTTTAAAAAATATAAATAAAATAAAATTAAAAAAACTCTAAATCCTAACCCAACCCAACCCCACCACCGTAACCACCTGCCCAAGCAAGCCGACGGCCAAAAGCCAACCGCCGGAACTCCTTGACCTCTTGCCGGAACCCTCTAACCTTCCGTCAGAACCCGCCGGAACCCATGACATACCGCTGGAACCCCTTGACCCCATCAAAACCGTCGACTCCTCTTAATCCCCCGAAAAACCACCCCAACCACCGCAACCATCTCACGCAATGCCCAAAAAATCCAGCACCCACACACTGACCCACAAAACTCCGTTTACCCGACGACCCCAACCCCCGCAACCACCTCACGTACCAACACGACGCATCACATAGCCACCTGTAGGCACCCATTTGTGTCTCCCCAAAACCAAACCCGGTGATGAGTACCTTCCACGTCGAATCATAATCGAATGAAGCGAAAGTGTGGAAAGTCTAGTGTTGCGGATAGTTTTATTTCTTTTCTTTTCTCTCTGTTTTTGAAAACTTATTTTAAGAAAACAGCCAATCCAGTTTGGTTGGTCCATGATATGGGTCCAATAGTAGTGTATTTGGATGGGGCTTAACAAGAGCTTTCCAACGATATATTATAAGCCCAATTCCGATGAATATTGAGGAAATTATGGCCAATTTACTAAACTGGGCCCGGTTTGAGCCTTATATACGGCCCAATGATCTAGGGGAGGGCCTAATATGATTTATCATTCCTAATGCAATTAGGAATGGTTTTAGTCTTCTAGAATCTTCTAGAAGGGTCTTTTCATTCCTAATTCGATTAGCATTGATAAATTGACTTTTGACTTTTTAGAGTTTTAATTAAAATCAAATAGCATTTTCGAGGAAATTATATGATTTTATCCTCCAGTACGACAAACTTATCTGATTTTCGAAAACGCGTTAAAACCAGGCTTGGTGCCTGACCCTAGGCATTGGCGCCTGGAACCAAGCCTGGTGCCTGGCGCTAGCCATTGGCGCCTGACGCTAGTGTTGGTGCCTGGCGCCAGTTAGCCAGGGTTTGCGCCAGCTCTGTTTTTTGTGCGTCAGTGTAGACACCCATTTGTGTCTCCCTAAAACCAAACCCAGTGATGAGTACCTTTTGCGTCGAATCATAATCGAATGAAGTGAAAGTGTGGAAAGTCTAGTGTTGCGGAAAGTTTTAATTTCTTTTCTCTTCTCTCTGTTTTTGAAAACTTATTTTAAGAAAACAGCCAATCCAGTTTGGTTGGTCCATGATATGGGTCCAATAGTAGTGTAGTTGGATAGGGCTTGACAAGAGCTTTCCAACGATATATTATAAGCCCCATTCCGATGAATATTGAGGAAATGATGGCCAATTTACTAAACTGGGCCTGTTTTGAGCCTTATATGCGGCCCAATGATCTAGAGGAGGGCCTAACATGGTTTATCATTCCTAATGCAATTAGGAATGGTTTTAGTCTTCTAGATTCTTCTAGAAGGTTCTTTTCATTCCTAATTCAATTAGCATTGATAAATTGAATTTTGACTTTTCAGAGTTTTAATTAAAATCAAATAGCATTTTCGAGGAAATTATATGATTTTATCCTCCAGTACGGCAAACTTATCTGATTTTTGAAAACGTGTTAAAACCAGGCTTGGCGCCTGACTCCAGGCATTGGCGCCTGGAACCAGGCCTGGTGCCTGGCGCTAGCCGTTGGCGCTAGTGTTGGTGCCTAGCGCCAGGTAGCCAGGGTTTGCGCCAACTCTGTTTTTTGTGCGTCAGACTCTGTTTTGTTTATTTTATCTTTTTGGCTGATTTTCTCTATAAATAACGTCGTAAAAAACTCCGTTTTCATTCACCAATTCTCATCATTCACGAGTTCTCATCTACAATCAGTTTTAATTAGCATTCGCCTACAATCATTCATTAATTCTCTCATTCTCTTAATCATTCATCTCTTTCTTTCTTTCTTTCTTTCTTTCTTTCTCTAAACTTTGTTTTTTATACAAAATTCCGTATTCGCAAGATCTAGAAACACCTAGGCATATTCGAAGTTGCCTTCGCCCTAGACGTGAAAGGTATAATTTCTGAGGGTTTGGTCCCTAATCTCTATTTCAATTATTTAATTTAATTGTTTTGTTTATTATTTTCCTTGAAGTTACTAACGTGTGTATTTTGTTATAAGAAAGAGATACGAAACATCAAAGTAAGTACTTTAATGGTTTTTATTGATATTATGATGTAGAAATCATGTTTATATTGTTATTATGATATTCCTAGTATCATGTTTAGGGAAAAGGTTATACTATCAAATATGCTTATTATGATTCCTGCAATGCCTTTTATTCTCTTCCTAATATTTATGATTGTTAGTATCATGTTAGGGTTAAATATTTGATTTTTATTGCTTAGTGACATGCTAGGGTTTGTTATTAATCTTGTTAGTATCATGCCTAGGATCTTGCTATTTTTATTATGCTTTAATATTAACATGAACATGATTATGATTATAATGACTATAATTTATGATGATGATGATTATTATTATTTATGATGATTATGATTATGATTTTTATTATCATGATATTATTATGTTGCTTGATATTTATTGTTATTTCTTGATCACCTTTTATTGCATGTTTAAAGGGAATTTGTACTTGTAATCACGCTTAATAAGATAATTAATAATCTTGTTTAGGGTTTATTGTGATTATAATTCAAGTGATCGCCAATAATAGTTTATTTGTGCATTTATATTCAACCAATATAGATTAAATAGGTTTAGGATTAACCTATTGATTGCATGTTAATTAAAAAGCGCACATGAATACGATCAGAATAAAGTAGAGGCCTAATATTAGGGCAGGTTCAATCTCTTTTAGGTTGGATTTGTACCATCATCCCCGAACCCTTATTTGGTTCTAGACCTTATGGAGTTGACGATCTCTTGGATCGTTAAGGGGTGTAACCTTCACCTCATGAACGGTTTACAAGTTCCTAAAAAAACTTGTTGGCGACTCTTTTGCTCTATCTTCTTCCCTTTTGGACGCCACCGTACTTTAGTGTATGATCACAGTGGGGTTCAAGCTAGGGGTTAATGCTTGAAATATTCCCTACAGTTTTTGGCGACTCCACTGGGGAGGATTTCTATTTTAATTCCTTAATTTGTTTCGGCAATGATTTA